TTAATAAACACTGACCAAAAAACGTATAAAGTTTTAGGGCTGGACGATATGACACTATATAACACTGATATAAGTGATCACCCGGATTTAGACCTACCCATATTACACCGCGTTCCAAATTATTATGCAAATGATATTTTACACTGATTTTCCTAAATAGTCAATGCAAATGACAGTCAGTATAATTTTCCAGTCACCAACCACTAGGGTATAAGTTGAATTTCATAGAACAAAACACCCAGCGAAAACAGTATTTTTTGAAAAAATAAAAAACTCAAAATGCACTGTTCCAAATTATTATGCACAAAAGAGTTTGAAAACATTTTATTGGTTGTAAAGAACTGAAAATGGTAATATGATGAATTTGCAGCATTAGGAGGTCAAATTTACTGAAATCAAAAGCTATTTCAATCAAACTCATCTTAACAGGGCAAGTTACATGTTAACCTTGGACCCCTCCTTTGATATGACCTTCACAATTCCTGTATCCATTGAAGTTGGGAGTTTATGGAGATTTCTGCTTGAACATCTTTTCACGATGTCAGAATAGCCTTCCAGAGGTCTTTTGCTTGAGGATGCTCCAAAGGTTCTCAATAGGGTTGAGGTCAGTGTGGGGGCCACTCCAAGAGTTTATCTCCTTTTTTGCCCATAGCAGCCAATAACACAGAATTATTTTTTGCTGCATGAGAGGGTGCATTGTCATGAATGACAATAATTTTGCTACGGAAGGCATGGTTCTTCTTTTTGTACCATGGAAGAAAGTGAGAAGAAGAAAGTCAGAAACTCTGGATGCATTGCAGAGGGCATTTTCACACCTTCAGGGACGCTAAAGGGACCTACCAGCTCTCTCCCCATGATTCCGACCCAAAACATGACTCCGCCTCCTCCTTGCTGACGTCGCAGCCTTATTGGGACATGGTGGCCATCCACCAACCATCCACTACTCCATCCATCTGCGCCATCCAGGGTTGCACGGCACTCATCAGTAAGCAAGACTATTTAAAAATTAGTCTTCATGTATTTCTGGGCCCACTGCAACGTTTCGGCTTGTAAGCATTGGTTAGGGGTGGCAGAATAGTAGGTTTATGTACAACTGCAAGCCCTGGAGGATCCTACACCTTGAGGTTTGCGGGACTCCAGAGGCCCCAGCATCTTCAAATACCTGTTTGCTGCTTTGTAATGGCATTATAGCAGTGCTCTCCTAAATCCGATGCATTTGTCTGGCAGTAACCTTCCTCATTATGCCTTTTTCTGTACAAACCCATCTGTACTCTGAATCAGCCACAAATCTCTTCACAGTACATTGATCATGCTTACATTTTCGTGAACTATCTAAAGTTTTCATACCTTGTCCAAGGCACTGCCCTATTTATCTCTTTTCCGCAACAAAGAGATCCTTTTTCTTTCCCATATTGCTTGAAACCTGTGGCCTGCTTAATAATGTGGAACATCCTTCTTAAGTAGTTTTCCTTTAATTGGGCTCACCTTGCAAACTACTTATCACAGGTGTCTGAGATTTTTTTCCGTGATCCAAAGAACTTGGAGACACAATACTATCCATGAGTTTGATTATAAAACTAAATATTACATTTTTATGACACTTATTTCCAATTTGCATAATAATTTGGAACGCGGTGTATATTTATATAAAACGTTCACAGGCAAATTTGCTTTATGTTTAGGTCTTGCTTTTATTTCCACGGTGTCGAAATCAGGCAAACATAAACGTCAGGCAACACGATTCCCGGCTGCATGTCAATATCCATGGATCACTGGATCTTTAGTAAGTTGTAAGGAACACTACATTGAGTCCAACATTTAGTTTAAATTGATAAAATTGTTCGATTTAGTCGCATTTCTGCAGTTTTCCCCTATTAAATCCAGTCACGCAGCAGATCTTTTGCCACTCGGTCAGGCTGAGGGGGGTTGTCACGCGGGAAAGTCACGTGTCAATGCATTCCCTCTATTCCCCGGATGAAAAGTCCCCGAATGACCTACTACTTCTGCTGAGATTCTGAAATGTACATACCATACAGTAAAAGAAATGGACACAGCGACCCCATAGATTTCAACAGAGAAAAGTGAAGTCAATTTGAAGCACTCACTTCCTGATGACCGAGTGAACTGCACAGGCTCAAACTGAGCTTGACGACGAAGATGTGACGTGAGTAACCTGTCTGACAGTTGTAAGTCTTCTAGTAGCTGTCCCAAGAGGAACCTAAAAGCAGCTGAAGGTCTTCTACAATGGCAGGCCTCAAGGGAAGCTTATTGGTGGAGAGGAGACAGTGATGAAACCAATCAGTATATGGGGATGATTAGGAGGCCATGATGGACAGAGGCCAAGGGGCAAATTTGGCCAGGATGCCGGGGTCACACCCCTAACTCTTTTTCGAAGGACATCCTGGGATTTTTAATGACCACAGAGAGTCAGGACCTCGGTTTAATGTCTCATCCGAAGGACGGAACGTTTGTTGGCTGAACGCTTGATGCATATGCCACACTTTTCTGGAAAAAACTTCAGGAGTTTCAAGATGGAGACGTGTGTGTCATGTTCCTGTCCTCCTGGAACAAAACGAACTGTGATTGTAAGCATCAGTGGAACTGAAGGTGTGAGAATAAATATGAAACTCACGTGATTGTTGTCATGCGGTGAATCTGGCGAATTGTGAAACCGCTGCTTTTGAATCGCTCTCAGCGTACTTTGATGGCATACGTCTCAGTCATGTGGCGTTTGCGCTGTCTCAAGATGGACACAATTTTTTTGTTTTTTGTTTTGGTTCAAGTCAGCTGCCGATCAGTCTGCGCAGAGCTGCATGAAGTCGGACAAGCCTGTTGCCACAGGAGATGGAGAACCATGTAAAGCTCGAAGAGCCCACGCAAACTGCTGGCACTGGAGACCAATTTGGAGGACCAACATCCCGAGGTGGAACTTCCTGAAGACTGAGGCGGAGGGAATGAGGACGCAGGTGGAGCCGGGGGGAAAGACTGAGCTGAAGGTGCAGGATGATCCTGACCAAGTAAGAGCCTGTGGGATGAGGGAGACCGGTGGAGCCACGTGGATGATGGTTTCTGATGGAGCCGAGGGTTAATAATTTAGATATGGAAACCATGGACATAGGGCCCCTACCTCAAGCCCATTATATCTGTCACAGTGTCTGGTTGTGTTTCCCTTGTTTGTCACTAGAAGTCCTCGTTATCACAGTGTCTTTCACATTTGACTTCTCCATAATCATTGTTCCCAGCTGTTCATTGTTAGTCTTGTTAGATCTGTGTATATATTCCAAGTCTGTGGCCCTGTTTACACGAGAACGCTCGCGGGTGAAAACGTAAAAATATTTTATCGGATGTGCCTTTCATTTACACGGCGACTGCGTTTTTTGAGGCTTAAAAACGCCAAAAAGTGAAACCACCCTCCAGAGTGGAAATCTTAAAAACGCTCCACCGCCGCGTTCCCGTGTAAAGGGTAACACCGTGTCCTAACTACACGCGACGCCGCGGCACGCGATAAAAGGTATCTTTTCCATGTTAATCAGCGTTTTTGTCCTAACCAGACGCGACGGCGACACGCAAAGTTTCTAATTTAGAAACGGTTCCTATTTCTGCGACGTCGCGGCTGACAGAATGAAGAAATTACACTGGTTATGAGTACACATTATTTATTTTTAGTTAAAAATAGGTCACTGTGCCACAACCGATAACGGATAATTTACCTCAGATTTTGAAAGCATGTAATATAGCGTTCAAAATGAATTCTATGCAAACATACAACTGTACTTCATAACAAAATTAGTCAATGAGTATATTTTGTTAATGTTTAGATTTTTAATAATGTTATTTCTTGATTTGATTATGTCCTTACCCATTTCCAATGCGAGTGCGGGCCAACAGTGTGCTTTCACAGAGACGCTGCTTACACGCTATTCTGAATGTGTGGCGTCAGTCGCGTCGCGTCTAGTGTGGACAGACACACTTGCTGTCGCTGGAATTTTATCGCGTCGCGTGTAGTTAGGACATGGTGTAAAAACGCAAAAGTCTGCTTGACAGTGAAGGTTGTACGCAGGCTCGTGGACTTGGTGTTGTTGTAGTATGCACTCCTAGCCGCCTGGAGTGCATACTAGCCTACATTGAATTTTACACACTTTTGCGTCACCATGCACGTGGATTTCCAACACAAAACGCTCGTTCAAAACGCACCATAAAAAGTGATGACGCAACGCCACTTTTGCGTTTTCTCTTCAGAATCGTTTCCGTGTAAACATAGCCTGTGTCAGTATGTGTACGATGTCGTTCCCAGACAGCAAACTGACATTGAATCAACGTGGAAACGACGTCTCTCATGACATTGAAACAACGTTGATTTTGCTCATCGAATTAACGTTGAACCAACGTCAGACGCGGCATTCTTCAAAGCTGAATGAAAATCGAAAATTGGTTTGCTTTCATAACGTTGAAACAACGCGTTGATTTCAAGTTGATTTTCCGTTAGTTTTGAAAGAATGACGCGTCTGACGTTGGTTCAACGTTAATTCGATGAGCAAAACAATGTCAGATCAACGTTGTTTCTATGTCATATTTCCACGTTGATTCAATGTCAGTTTGCTATCTGGGGTTGTTTTCTGTGACCTCACTTGCAAGTCTGTATATGCCCGTTTCTTGTTTTTGTCTTGTGTTTTGGATTGCCTTATTGGATTTTGACCCCTGCCTGGATGACTACGAGTTTGGATTGCCCCTTAATTAAAAACTTTGGATCTTCGGTGTGTGTTCTTGACAATATCCATATGGGCCCATATCATATCACTTACATTCCACACATTTATTACCATATACTATAAACCTTATGAAATGTCAGGAAGAGTGCTTGGGTGCCATTTACTGGAATAAGGAGAAAAATGTTCTGCCATATTTTTTAAAATAAATGTAGCCTACAAATGCAAGAAAAATGCTCAGAACACTTTAATTAAGACAGAATCAATTCCATTTAATAATCACAGAATGTTTGATATTTTTAAAAATGCATTTATTTGTCATTTATTTTGTGGTCATTGTTTTCGGCATGTATCTGATTCATTATCTATTATCATTAGTTAAAACCAAAATTAGATAAAGACACTGTATGCAAGTCTTCATAAATAACGTCCATACACACAAATATGTTCACAAAGGATATAAAAGCAAGAGACAAATGAAAGTATTTTTGCTTGAAGGGACCAGTGGGAAATGTAAGTGGGCCACAGAGATTCTAGTGCAACTATTGTTCAAAAACAAAACAATTGCAAGTGTTGATCATAGAAAGGTATAAACAATAAAAATGGCTTAACAATGCTTTATAAAATATATTTAAGCAATATCACACAAGTAAGAGTGTGGGTAATCACAGCTGCTAAGTTTAATAACATTACAGTTGCGGTGTAATCACTTTTCATTCAACAAAGTGCAGTAAATATAGCATAATATAATATAGAGTTACTTACATTTCAGACATAATTTGGGAGTTTGTATAGCTGCACTTGTATACCAAATATTAGCGCTCTAGGAATGCTGCTTGTCTAATCAAATTAGAAGTTGAAACTACAGTATCTATAACATAAATGACAAATCTCAAGCAAATGCTCATATCCAGTACAGCAGGTTGAACTTTGGGCACACAGCTACATCCTTAAACAACAACAACACCATAATAATAACAACAAAAATGTCATACTTTCTTACTTTCTATACTTACTTTCTCTCTAAAACAAAACAAACACATTCACATTTCATGTGCATTGACAGGTTGAGAGTGCATCTTGGGGAGGGGAGAAGAAAAATCATTTTGTTACTGCTCTAAATGGTTATATACTGTAAGATACTGTATGTTCCTTTAAATAACATTGAAGAGATAGAAATTTTATAAACCATGGGATCTCATGGATGCCTCAATGAGCAGATACAATCCTGTCAGTACTAACATGTACAGGTTTTTGATATTACAGAAAATATATCATGTAAAATATTCAAATAATCCTTTTGGACATTTCACAGTAAAAAAATAAAGATCTCTTGATTGAAATATAAATACAATTACTTCCACGTTATTTGCTGTTTACTCCAAAATTAACATAGAACATGTTGCATTCTTTCCAGTGTAATCTCCTATATATATTTCTTTAAAAATGGCTTTTGTGCAAGAAAATAAATTACAGTCAAACTACTGTAAATGCAAAGTGTGAATTTCATTATTTTTTAAGTAAATTTAAAAATGCTCTTTTAAATACGCCCTGAGGGCCATCTTCAGGCTGTATACAGTTACAGTTTTAAATATTTTACATTCTGATAGATATTTAGTGCTTCGTTGTTCTGGTAAATTAAGTCCACGTTGGTTCCGGTTCTTGATCGAATGATGTCGTGCGCACACTGATGGAGGTAAACATACTGCTCCTGTTGTAGAAAAACAGAAGGAAAAAGAAAACAGTGTAAAAGTATAAGTCTACTTTACTGTAATCTACAGTTTCTTTGTGGAAGTCACATTCTATCAGCTCCAATTTCTATAGTAATGTTTTCTGGGTTCAGTTAAGGTCAATCAACAACCTTTGTTGCAAAATGTTCATTACTGGTTCATTACATATCCTTACCCATTAACCATCGATTTACCTATATTACCAATGTCATCTACACTCACCTAAAGGATTATTAGGAACACCATACTAATTCTCTGTTTGACCCCCTTTCACCTTCAGAACTGCCTTAATTCTACGTGGCATTGATTCAACAGCATTCTTTAGTAATGTTGGCCCATATTGATAGGATAGCATCTTGCAGTTGATGGAGATTTGTGGGATGCACATCCAGGGCACGAAGCTCCCGTTCCACCACATCCCAAAGATGCTCTATTGGGTTGAGATCTGGTGACTGTGGGGGCCATTTTAGTACAGTGACTCATTGTCATGTTCAAGAAACCAATTTGAAATGATTTGAGCTTTGTGACATGGTGCATTATCCTGCTGGAAGTAGCCATCAGAGGATGGGGACATGGTGGCCATAAAGGGATGGACATGATCAGAAACAATGCTCAGGTAGGCCGTGGGATTTAAACGATGCCCAATTGGCACTAAGGGGCCTAAAGTGTGCCAAGAAAACATCCCCCACACCATTACACCACCACCACCAGCCTGCACAGTGGTAACAAGGCATGATGGATCCATGTTCTCATTCTGTTTACGCCAAATTCTGACTCCATCTGAATGTCTCAACAGAAATCGAGAATCATCAGACCAGGCAACATTTTTCCAGTCTTCAACTGTCCAATTTTGGTGAGCTCTTGCAAATTGTAGCCTCTTTTTCTTATTTGTAGTGGAGATGAGTGGTACCCGGTGGGGTCTTCTGCTGTTGTAGCCCATCCGCCTCAAGGTTGTGCGTGTTGTGGCTTCACAAATGCTTTGCTGCATACATCGGTTGTAACGAGTGGTTATTTCAGTCAAAGTTGCTCTTCTATCAGCTTGAATCAGTCGGCCCATTCTCCTCTGACCTCTTGCATCAACAAGGCATTTTCACCCACAGGACTGCCGCATACTGAATTTGTTTCCCTTTTCACGCCATTCTTTGTAAACCCTAGAAATGGTTGTCTGTGAAAATCCCAGTAACTGAGCAGATTGTGAAATACTCAGACTCATCACTCAAAATTGTTTAAATCACCTTTCTTTCCCATTCTGACCTTCAGTTTGGAGTTCAGGAGATTGTCTTGTCCAGGACCACACCCCTTAATGCATTGAAGCAACAGCCATGTGATTGGTTGATTAGATAATTGCATTAATGAAAAATTGAACAGGTGTCCCTAATGATCATTTAGGTGAGTGTACACCTGTCACTTTTATAAAATTATAAGCTTCGCATTTCTGCTTTCAAATCCTCTAAAAACTGACCGCATATACTTCATTGTAAGTGCCCTACTGTTGCATTCATTTTATTTATTTATTTTAAAGAAACGAAGGTAGTTGAGGTTAAAGTTATTTTGGTTTTGATAAACATTATGCCACACATGTTGTTGACTGAGCTTAACTTTAAATGTTCCTCTACGTTCCTTTACCTCAGTCTGGACCATAAGAGCCCTGTGCATGCGCATATCATTAACAATTCCGAAGATGTCCACCATGCTTTCTCTTTCAATCTGGAAAATCAGTCGGTCAATGGCAATGAAGGTCCCTGTTCTTCCCACACCAGCACTGAAAAATTCACGAGGTCATATAATGAGATGAAGGTTTAATCAAACAAATGGCAGGTTTAATATTTGATGTTTGCATTGTAATATAAATTCATGAATGTTTTGTTTATAGGAATCTAATTTACCTGCAATGCACCACAGTTGGAGAATTGCGTGAGTACTGGTCCATGTGTTCCCTCACCAGGTGTCTGAAATCAATGAGGACTTCAGTGGTCTCTGGAACTCCATGATCCGGCCACGCTGTGAAGTGGAACTGGCGTACGTTGCGAATTTCTGCCGTTTTCACCTACAGTGATCAATCATATTATTGTAAAATATTACAGATTTAAAAACAACAACACAATTGACTCCTGTATGCGACTGGAAGTGAAAATGGAGGTATTTGAATTCTTCACATTTTTGATACTGAAGTCTCTTATGGTCCAGCTGTCCAGTGATATATCCGAGGTGGTCGTCACTGAGATGTTATGATAATGATTCGTCTCGGATGGCCAGTACTTCTCACATTTCACCTGGAGAAAAATGACGCGGATTGCTGGTTTGCTTTAACCTGCATATACATTTTCATCACTTTTCAAAGTGACTAATAATATTTCAATAATATTCAATTTTGAACTCACCCGTCCCTGCTCGTTGCATCTGGTCAGCATCACTATGCTGTAGACGTTCTTCTCCCAGATCATTCTCCAGAATTCATTCACTGTGACGGGCAACGGACCCTGTGCCGCTATAAACTCTTTTCTTGAATTGTAGCCCTGACCAAAAATAAATCAATATGTTGATTAGTGAAAAATGTATAACATATCGAGAAGTCATATGACCTGCTGAAAATTCCCTTTTGTATATGCACTCACTGGAATATAGTTGGCATTGATGTAGTCATCAAAGGGGTTGCCACACATTGATAATCTCACTCTTGAAGAATCATCTGAAGAAGGAAAACATGATCCAATTAGTTTCATTCATTCATTAGGAACTAAAATGATGCATCTAGTATAAGTATATTTAGTATATTTATCTAGTATATTTTAGTATAAATTCACACTGTATCTGTATATCTGTCGTTCCCTTTCCGTCCCTAACCAAGACGTTCTGTTATATTCCAAGGGCTCTTATTTTTTGATATTATTTTTTCTCGGTTCCTGCGGTGTCTAGTTTAGTTAAAGGAATAGTTCACTTAAAAATTAAAATTCTGTCATCATTTACTCACCCTCAAGTTATTTCAAACCTGTATGAATTTCTTTCTTCTGCTGAACACAAAGGAAGATGTTTTGAAGAATGTCGATAACCTAGACAGTTGATGGACCCCATTGACATACTATGGGAGTCAATGGGGTCCATCAACTGTTTGGTTGCTGACATTCTTCAAAATATCCTGTTTTGTGTTCTTCTTTTGTGTTCCTTGCATCCAATTAGATCCATGGAATCTTTAACAGTAGCAAACATCAACTGTTCACTTCATTCTGAGACTTTTAGGAGAGGGAAAAATTTGAGATTTATGATACTAAACTAAAGCTACATTTGCACTGCAGTTGAATGTGGGGCAAATGTTTTTGAATGAAATTGAAATGACTAAAACAAAACACTGAACTGTCCATTTTAATTTGAAATCTTAGCCACGTCCATACAAGGAAATGAACTAATAAATGTATCTGCTTTTCTGCAATGTGACTTCTGTGTGAATAGTCCAGGGTCAATTCATGCAATTTTATTTTAAACTCAAAATTTCCTATAATTCGGCACTAATGGAATTATTTGCAAAAATGGAAATCTGCACAAAAAACACAGACTTGCTTTCTGATGGCATTTTCATTGTGCATTCCACAAAATTGCACAATATGCAACAGTCAGTCAGTCTACTTACAAGGTAAAACATTTGTGTAACGATTCTTTGCCTTGTTTTCAATAGACAGAGCGGCGTTCTTTGACTGCGCAGTTCCAACAGATTTCAAATCCTGCAACAACAGAGCACTTCTTTAGACCTAGACTTTGAAAACCCTATTATAATTCATATATATATATAAAATCTATATATATATATATATATATATGTTTGTGTTTATATGCGTTTCCCATATGTACCTCATACTCTTCAGCAAAACCACAGTTGGAATCTGCATGTTTCCGCTTAAAATACTCTTCATAATCTTCTATTCTTATACCACAATTACTGTGTATGATAAAACAAAGAAATCATTGAGGACGAAAACCTACACAAATTTAATGAACTGTTTTTTTTTACAACTTTCAAAATAAATACAAGTATGTGAGTTAATAATAAAAAGTTACTTATATTTTATCTCTTCAAATAGTTAAGAACAGTTAAAAAGAATTCATTTACACTTTTAAGTTTTTTCAAAAGAATAAATCTATAAAATATATATAAAAAAAAGTTACCTAGTGTTGTGTAGAGGGATGTCAGGACATTGTTTTTTTGTTTGTCTGGAATAGAGAGTAATAGAGAAATGTTAATAAAATGAATCTGGATGACTACTGGAGCTCTGTCCAATCTTCATTTCTCTGATGATACTGGTAACTCACCTTCTTGAATAGAAGAAGACAAGGAGAGTGATAATCAAGAGAATGCAGATTAGTCCAAAAACTAAGCCAACAATCAGACCAGTATGAGAGGGTTCTTCCAATGAAAAAAAAAAAAAAAAAAAATCAAATATGTTTCCAATAAAGAAACTGCAGTTCAAATGCCACTTACATTATTGTAACTAGTCCCATATTATTACTGGGTCAGAGAGGAGTTCACTTTGTAATGTGTTTAAAAATGTTAAAGAAGAAAGCCATTATGGATTATATAAACCTTATCAGATAATTTAATGATACTGACACTTGAATATACTAAGATGCAAATAGTTCAAAAAAGTAAAGAGCCCCTATCATGGATTTTTGAAAATGACTGTTCATATGGTGTGGAATATAGCTCTAAGGGAATGAAAACATCCTGCAAAGATTTATATCTGAAAGTGCACCGTTTATAAAGTTATTGTCTTTCAAAAGTGAGAGTCGACTCTGAGTCTATGAAATGAATTGTTTTTGAAATGAGTCATTAGCTAGTTCGTCGTGACGTAGATACATACTGGCCGCACGCAGTAGACGGAAGTGTAAACTTGAAGTCTACACATTCAAATACTTCATCATAGCATCATGTCGAGAAGACACTGTGTTCTACAATACAAAGATAGTTCAGCCACGTTGTTTTCATTTACCAGGGACGAGCATGTGAAGAATAGGTGGTTAGAGTTCATATTTGCAACAATACCACAACAGTATAGCCCGATTGTGTTCTCATTTTAATGACGAATCGTTCAAAAACATACGTAAATGAATTCAAATGTGGATTCGCAAGCGGTTGTTCCTAAAGGAGGGCTCAGTAACTTACTCACCCAGTGTATATGGATCAGCTTCCTCCTATGAATCACAACCTGTAAGTATTATTAATAATTGTTGCGATTATGGGTTTTGAACGGTTTTGTAGCGTCGGGAAGGCGCAATGAGTATGTGTGTGTACGCGTGTGTGTGTGTAAGGTAGGCTCAGCGCAGCTTCTAGGTCTCCAATGTCAATTTTTTTTAAATATGTGAAATGTTTGTCGCTGTTATAGGAGTTGTCATAAAGAATAGAGCGTCTTGTAGTACTGCAGTGCTTTATCCATATGTTTATGCGTTATGCTAACAAACAATAACTGACGGGGTCATCTGACCAATCACCGCCGATTAGCGTCACGCAAAGGAGTGGTTTGGAAAAATGAGTCGTTGTACGAATCATTTGGGAGTCGGTGAGCAAATCAGTTAAAAATAAATGCATATAATAAGACAAATAAAGTGTTTTTTATTCTTGCATCCATGTTAAACTGTTTTTGGGAACTCCTAAAACAAAAATAGGAACATTTCAAATGCTATGGTAGGGGCTTTTTAAAAAACATTATCTATTTGATATATTTTGAGAATGTTATACTGAATAGTCAAACCATTATTTTAATATTTAGTCTGCAAAGCTTCAGTCAGGGCTTTGGATGATGATCAGATGTCTTCAAAGAGGAACGTTTTAAAAAAAATCGACATTTAAATATTTACTTAAAGTAAAAATAAATGTTATAATCCTAAAAGTTACTTGAGTAAGAGTAAAAAAGTATCCATTGAAAAAACTACTCAAGTAGTTAGTTACTTTGGATTGCAGAGGCCTATATGTACTGTATATATTTGTATATATATAAAACATGATATTATTTAGCTATTATTATCATAATTAGATAAGCTATCTTTGCAACAAAAACAGAAGAGACAAACATTATTTCTGTATATTTGTATATTATAGGCTATCTGTAGCCCAAAAACCATTGCCTTTCACCGTACCTGTCAAAATTTCTGCACTAAGCAATTACAATTACAATGCCCAGAAAAAAAAGAGAGCACACGCTTAGAATAAACTACGCTTTTAACAACATATTGCATTCACATTAAGTAACAATAGGAACGTCGCCCAATGTAACGAAGTAAAAGTAATTTCAAAAGCACAGATGTTGAGTTTTTTTCAGTCACTTCGAGTTTTGTGATCACTTCTGGTGGAGAGAAAAACACATATTATGTGCTGGTGAAAGGGGGAATTAAAACGGATGTATATATATATATATATATATATATATATATATATATATATATATATATATATATATATATATACTGAACAAACTTACAAATGCAACACTTTAGTTTTGCCCCCAAGATCTAAGGCTTTTTCTGTACACAAAGGGCCTATTTCTCTCAAATATTGTTCACAAATCTGTCTAAATCTGTGTTAGTGAGCACTTCTCCTTCACCAAGATAATCCATCCACCTCACAGGTGTGGCATATCAAGATTATTGCACAGGTGTGCCTTAGGCTAGGTTAGGTATCTTGTAGTTTCCTGGTCTGTGAAGTCACCTGCCTGACGTCTCGCCACCGCATTGGATTGATTCTACATATGCTTCATTAAGCAATCCCACACAACATCTCGATAAAGCTCGAGTTCCCTTGAAAGGGAACAGGTAAATCACGTATAAGTGGCATTCAATTTCATTCAAATTATACCGGTGAATAAGTGCTATAATGTAGGCCTGCCGCCCTGCCTACAAACATAGCTATCTATTTGAGTCTATTTGAGTTCCCCTCACTCCACAACAAATCCTTTAAATGTAACACTATTGAGAACAGAAGAAGAATGGAAAAAATATAAGTAATAAATAAGCCAAAATGAAATCATTTAAAGCAAAACTGAAAGTATCTGGTGTTGGACTGAAAGTATCTGGTGTTGGGCTCACGTAGCCTATAACTCTCTCGTTCGAATCCAAATGTTTCATATTCGCGATGTATTTGAATGCTAAACTATTATTTATCATAGGCTTTGTACTTCATTTCACTCGTGTCCCAATATCAACAGAAAAAAATCCTCGGAAAGGATGTGCTCTCTTTCGTCTCGGTTTCCTTTCCGTCAACTTGTTCGTGGAGCGTTGCGCCTCACAAAAATGAATCAAACTCAGCAGGATACTGTCGCACGTTTTTTATTTTGTTTTATTAATCTGTTAATTATTTAAGTCAAATATATTTTGTGTATGTATTCCTTTTAGATAGGTATATATACTATGTTTATATTAAAACAATAGGTAACACTTTGTTTTGATGGTCCCTTTTGAATGTGCTGTTGACTAATCTATAAGTAACTTTGCAACTATATGTCAAGATGTAGGTGTCTTTGTTTCCACAGTATTTTCAATTTGGACATTTTTCAGTCAAACCGTTGTTGTCTATCAGTCTGGAGGCTAAGGGGGTCCACCAAAAAGCATGCACAGAGGAGTCAAAATTAAACATGATTTAATGACTCGTAAATGTAAGTACACATTGATGGCCTAAGACACGAAACAAGCGTTTTTTGTGAGAAAACTAACAGTATTTATATCGTTTTTACCTCGTGTAATCAAAGTGATCTGAATCAGTTGTGCAATGTCCAACTGAACCGAACTGAATCAGTTCAATGTTACGCCGGAAGTGATCGCTTGCGTGTGACGTCACTCAATATTTACACGGAGATTTCGGAAGTTTTACCTTTTACTAAACATATTTAGATATACCGAAATCGTCTTCCATTGCGGTTTCCCGTATATCTAAATATGTTTAGTAAAAGGTAAAACTTCCGAAATCTCTGTATAAACAAAGAGTGATGTAGGCTAGGCACGCAAGCGATCACTTCCGGCGCATGTGCAGACCGAAGCGCCCATGCCGTCAGATCATTTTGTCATGGCTATGATTACAAGACGTAAAACGATATAAATACTGTTCGTTTTCTTACACAAACCGCTCGTTTCGTGTCTTAGGCCATCAACGTGAACTTACATTTACGAGTCATTAAATCATGTTTAATTTTGACTTCTCTGTGCATGCTCTTTGAGGTGAACCGATTGAGGACCCCCCTCACCTCCAGTGTATGACTGACAGACAACAACGGTTTGACCAAAAAATTGAAAACGCTGTGGAAACAAAGACATCTACATCTTGGATCCCCTTGAGGTAAGCTAAAACATATCAAAAATTAATTTCAAAGTGAACTATCCCTTTTAATGTTACATATATTTAAGCAGATTGAACACAATCAAATTAAATTTGGACAAAATGTATAGCAATGGGCTATATGCACGCATAAATTCCGCATTTGACGCAACGATGCTCGTCCATTTCCGGTTGTGGAGATTAAAGCGGAGGAAAACCGAGGAAAACGGGATTATGGCAGAGTCTTCAAAATTTACTGTCCTCCCGTCTTTGAAAAGAAACGTACATACGTTTTGATGTAATTTTATATATAGTTATGTTTATTTAATATAATTTTAAAAAGAAGCATAAACACAACGAGGGGTGTCTGTTTTATCCGTTTTTGTGATTAACGTTTCTTTAGTATAACCATGGAGTATAACATTCAATATAAATTCTCGGTATTGCATTGGACTCTACGATCGGCGGAAGTTATCGAGCATGCTTACACCTTCACCGGAAATACCTCCGTGCATAGAGCCCACGTAATCGTTAGGCTATTTTTTTTTTTTTTTCAAAAAAACTGTTTCTATGAGGCCATAACGTAAGATACAAGGTAATGCAGCCTTTTATACATTGTCGTGTGTCTTTAGAAATAAACAATGGACAAATGGAGTCTTTAAATGCCACATATGTAAAGTTATTCGTTGTCAAAGTAACGCAAAAACAAATGGGAGTCAATGGAATGCTAACAGCAGGTGAAGGCTTGCTAGCCAATGGCGGCCCCCAGTTTAGCTTCTGGTGGATTACCCCCTTGCTCCAAACAGAGCAGCACAAACCAATTATGCACATCCCAGGTTAAGCCGCCTTTCCACTGCAAAAGACATTCACATTCGATTGTTGCTTTCGCTTCCTAGCGGCAGTCACACACAATTTTGAAATTGGCAGTGAAGCAACTGTGACTTTACCTCGGCTTATTCAGCATGGTAAAATAATTTTAGTGAATAATGCATGTACATGAATATATCCACACAAAACAAATGACCATCAATAGGGTACATCTAAAATAAGAACATAGTAGATTTTATAGAGCTAATCAATAGGCTATTGATTTAATCATTATAAAATATTTATTTCTGCCATATATCATTTTACCGTGCTGAGAGTTGTAACGGAATGCTGCCATTATTGGACAAACTGATTAATCCAGGTGTGTCTGACCTCAGTAGTCACAACAACAATAATCAGGCACACCTAAATGAATCAAGTTTGTCCAATAATGGAAGACAGGAAACAAGGTGCATAAAGCTAATTAGACAATATTTAATTATCCTGACAGGACTACAGGAAGGTTCTGTTGTTTGACACAATTATCATAATGAAACGTCATTAGTAATTAAACAATATAAAATACAGCTATTAGTTTACACAGTTGTCCATAAACAGTACTCACTTGTAGGTGTAGGTGTAGGTGTTTGTGAGTCAGGTGAAGAAATGGTTGAATTGACAGGAGATGCTGACATGGATGAATAAAGAAATAAAAACATTTATGAAATAGTACAAGCTAACAATGGCATTTGTTCATACAATTAAGTTTTGTATTACAATCAGTGTATTAACATCAATCAATGTAAACATTTTAACTGGTAGGCACGATGTTTGACACGCAGGAAGTGACATGAAATAAGTACAATTGGTATTCAAGTTTTTTTTATATTTATTGACATGTCTAAAAAGACTATTTTTTGCATGCAAAGGAATTCTGCATTTCAGAAAAGTGCACATTGTTTTCACTTAAAGTGACACTCAGGATGTGATTTGAAATACTGAAGTAGTCCTCACTTCATTGTGTCATCAGCTGCGCTCAAAGAATCTGCCCTTATGTTGTTAAAGGGGTGATGAACTGAGAAATCAAATTTTCCTTGAGCTTTTAATATCTAAGAGGTTATATTACTGTATAAGAATATCCTGTAAGTTTCAGAACTGAAAACGTCCTTGTTAGTCCAATAAAAGTTTTTATTTACACCAGCCTCTGAAAACGTCTCGTTTTGAAAAGTGGGAAACTATGACGTCGAAGGGGTTAAAACACCACCCCCGCAGAAGAAGATCTCACCTACTTCAACACGCCCGGTTTAGCCCCGCCCACCGATTCGCGCATTACACGCATAGCTAAGTATCCTAACTTACATGCCTACCTCGTGATGAAACCGGATCGTTCTACCGAGCAATACAGAATATTTTGCAGTGCCTGGTTGTGAAAGAAGACAGTCGCTGCATAAGCTTCCTCTGGATTCCAATAGGACTTCATGAATAAACTTTATTTTTAATGACGTTCCAGCTGATGAGGGTAAAACATCGTCGTCTGTTCGCTTCATTTCACTGAGGATTGTTTTGTAAACAAGACTGGATTTGCAGACCGATTAAGAGTAAAGAACGGTGCTGTGCCGTCTATATTGGATCTGACAGGAATTGTGCAACACACGGACTCTGGGTCGAACATGTATGGGCGAATCCGGTTGCCATTTGACAACATTGGACGTTTTCCCCCACATACACCGACGGGTGAGTGAAACTCATTATAATATGCAAAACTGTTATCCACTCGTTTATTTCCAAGTCTTCAGCGCGACACGCCCATAAAAACCGACCGTTTTTCAGGAAGGCTCACAACTTGGGTACAAAATAGCCTATTACTTATTCATTTTGATGTTTTTGAATGCAAAAACCAAGCGAACGTCTTAAGTTGACCTCAGATAACAATATAATAACATTTTAAAAGCCAGTTCATGACCCCTTTAAAGTTTAATTATTTACGAAATTAATCAATAATAAAGATATAGCAAAATGCCATTTTGTGTGATATGATTTATTTAAACTAAAAAGGTAAATAAAAAATAAAAAATATTGTGACAGAATTTACACATGCATCAAGTTTCTCGACAAGAAAGACTTCCACAAAGGGTACACCTGTGCATCGTACACCTCGCTCATAGCTTCTCAGAAAGCTTCCTCACTCCTCGTTCCTCGCAGTGCAATTAGAGAATTTAGATGTCCTTCAAGATGGCTGAGCTTGTTTGGTTTCCAGGTCATTGGATGAAGATAGGAGGACCATAAAAATGAGGAGGGATATTGAGAAGCACCACTGGAATGTCAGACCCATTACCCGACTGCTCAATGATAACTTTTTTTGGACAGAATTTAATTGTTTTACTTTTAATGTTAAAAAAACTATTTCTCCTGCACAGTTTTGGTCCTTTAGGGAGGTTGTACGGATTTTGTAGAGTTAGAGTTTGCAAAGAGTGGTTCCTTTTTCACCATAGGTGAGGTGGAGGAAGACTATGATTACCACCTGCCTGCCATGGACCCATAGCCTGAGAACACGCCTGCTTTAACCCTTGAGACTAAGCATACAAATCTATCCTGGAGCTCCTTCATCTCCACCGGTTCCTTCCAGCTCCCTGGCTCCTTCGTCTTGGCTTGTTCTGCACAGCTCCCTATCCCCTCTGCAGGCTCCATCCAGTTTATTGGCTCTGTTTCCTCTGTTGACTTCAATGTGTTCTCTGACTTTACCCACTCTGCTGGTTCCAGCTGGGTCAGTGGATCCACACACTTCACTGGCTCTGCTCATTTGCCTGGCTTGCCTCATCTTCCCGAGACACCGGCTCTACCTCTGGCTATGCTGCATCCTTCAGCCTTTTGCTCAACTGGCTACTCCATCCCCCTGACTTCTCCTTTTTCCTTACTCCAACTCCCTCCAGCTCTGTCTTCTGAGCCCATATCTCCACCTCAGTCCTCTGACTCTTCGGTTCCGCCTTGGACCCCAGTGCCTGCGGTGCCAATTTAGCCAATCTGCCCCTTGGTAACCAACACACCTTACTCCACTTTGGTCTTCAATTCCCACGGCTCCGCCCTGGTCAAAACTGGGGAGGGAACCGCCGTGGACCTTCAGCCCTCCAGAATCCTCAGCAGAAGTGGATTCACTGGTGTCTTCCCCATCTACTTATCTGTGGTTCCTTCATCCACAAGCCACTCCTTGGTTTCTCTCTCCACTTGTCCCTGCATGGACACTTTTGCCTGGGTGTCTTGGCCCACCTGCTCAACCCAGTATGGATTATACCTCCCTCTCCCTCAGGGATGTGGGAGGAGGGGGTTATGTAACGTCTAAGATCAGTTAGTTTGTTCTTTTGGTTACTGAATGTGTTCAACAGTGTCTTGTTTAGTTTCTCATTATCATGTGCGTATTTTAAGTCATGTGTGTGGTTCAGTTCATTGTCCTGTGTAGTTATTGTAATAATTTGTATTATTTAGAACATTAACACTAAAATGAGTTAACTACTAATCTAATTTTCATATTAACATGCTTACTCAATTGTCCATCATTAGAAAAAATTACTCCCTATAAAAACCTAATGTTTGACACTTTGAGACTTGGGTTCTATTCCAGTTGGAATATTGGACTCGCCGTTTCCTACTTGTTCTCAAGCCCTTCCTCCTCCATTAATTCCTTTGTCCTTACTTGTTCCGCCCGGCTCCCTGGTTCCTTCATTTCTGCTGGTCCTGCCTAGCTCCTTCGTCTCCACCGGTACTACACGGCTCTGTGGCTCGTTCGTCTTTGCTTGTCCTACCCAGCTCTCTGGTTCCACCCCCTCTGCAGCCTCAATTCAGTTTTCTGGCTCCGCCTCCTCTTCTGGCTTCATTGGCTTCTCTGGCTCAACCCCCTCTTCTAGTTTCGGCTGGGTCCGGCTGGCTCCATCCCTCTGACAACTCCTTTGTCCTCACTCTTACTGGCTCTGTCTTCTGAGCCTTCATCGCCACCTTACTCCTCTTACCGTCTGGTTCCCTTTAGACCCCTGTGCTTGGTATTGATTTGGTCTTTTATCCCTCCATCTGCACCTTGGTATCAAGCCCTCTAACTCCACTTTGGTCTTCAGTTCCCATGGCTCTGCCCTGGTGTAAAATGCAGAGGACAACACTAAGGACCTTCAGCCATACAGCATTGTCAGGAGAAGTGGATTCACTGGTCTCACAAGCCCCTTTTCCACCAAAGCATTTTGAGAGCCGGTTCGGAGCCGGTGCCTGCCCGCGAACCAGTTCTTTGTGTTTCGACAGCCAAAGAACCGGTTCTCTGCCGGGAAAACTGGTTCCAAAGTGGCACCAACTCTTTGCTGGACTAGAACCGTTCTTTTACCACGTCATGCTTACGTCGGGGGCTGGGGCGAGTTTAGATGCGTTCTAAACATCTTTTCTGACCATAATAAAGGATCGCAAAGCCAGGACAAAGTTCGCGTTTGTAATTGTTATGCTTGAAGTTGGTGCAAGCATTTCTAAGCGTTTTTTTTTTTTTTTTTGAAAACATTATAAGCAAAGAAGAAACAGTCACAATATAGAACGAATAAATGGAAAGAAAAAAAGACACAAGACAGGGGTACACAAATTATCAGAAAAGATTACATATCAAATGAAAAGATTAAAAGACATATTTCAATTGTTTTTAAAGCCTTCTTGGTACACGAGTTAGGGATAATCCCAAAGTAATGTTGTACTTGCAAGCGTTTCTAGCTAAGACGTATGGCAATGTACACAGTGACGTAACGACGTCGTTCCCTGGGCGCTTTAGTCAGTGGAAATACAAACAGGTTCTGAACGTGTTCGCAAGTTGAACCAACTCCGAACCAACTTTGAACCAGCACCAGTTCGGAACCAGTTCTTTTTTGGTGGAAAAGGGGTAACAGAGGCCTCCTCCTCCTACTGTTCCGTGGTTCCTTCGTCCACCAGCCACACCTTTTTTTCTCTTTCCATCGGTCCCTCCATGGACTCTAGGTGTCTTGAACCTTCTTCCCACCTGAATGGATTATACGTTCCGTTTCAACCTCCTCAGGGGTGGGCAGGATGATGTTACATCTAAGCTCAGTTAGTTTGTTTCCTTGGTTAATCATTGTGTTCACCTGTGTCTTGTTTAGATTCTGATTATCCTGTGTCATTCTGGGTGCTTTTTAAGTCTTGTGAATTGTTCACTTCCTAGTCTAGTTTTGTTATTGTTATGATTATTAACATTTACCACATTAACACTAAAATGAATGAACTACTGAAATAATTTTTCTATTAACTTGTTTACTCAACTGTCTATAAATAAAAATACTCACATGATATAGTCGGTGGTGTTGAGTCAGTTAAAGTACTTCTTGTAGTGGCAGGGGGTGCTAAAATATTTAGATGTATGAATAGAAACATTATGCAAGTAATATTCGTTGACATACTTAAAATGACATCACTGCATAAAATTAAATTCTGTTTTGCAAAAACTTTTAATAAAAGATAATATGACAGCATCTGTAAACTGTGTTAACACAGTTTTTTCAACTGAAATGTCATAATTGTCTGTCTATATGAATTACATCTTGTAGGAGAAACTGTTAGACACAATTATCATAATACAACTTTATTGGTAATGAAAAATTATAAAATACAGTTAATAGTTTACACAGTTGTCCATGAAAAGTACTCACTTTTAGAAGGAGTAGGTGTAGGTGTCTCACTTGTAGAAGCAGTTGATGAAATGGTTGTAGTGACAGTGGATGCTGTGATATATGGACATATAGAAAAAAAAATCACGAAATATTACTTAGAAGTTATCAATGACATATGTTCATGCAATTCATTTTATGTATTGCAATCAAAGTATCATTGTTAGAAGAATAACTTATATTCAATTATAAACATTTTAACTGGTAGTGGATCCACACCCTTCACTGGCTCTGCTCATTTGCCTGGTTTGCCTCATCTTTCCTGAGACACAAGCTCTGCCTCTGGCAATGCCTCATCCCTCCAGCCATTTGGCTCTACTTGCTACTCCACCCCTTTGGCTTCTCATTTGTCCTCACTCCAACTGCCTCCAGCTCTGTCTTGCGAGCCCTCTTCTCCACCTCAGTCCTCTGACTCTTCGGTTCCGCCTTGGACCCCAGTGCCTGCGGTGCCAATTTGGTTCTTCATCCCTCCATTTGACCCTTGGTATCCAGCACACCTTACTCCACTTTGGTCTTCAGTTCCCACGGCTCCGCCCAGGTCAAAACTGGGGAGGGAACTGCCGTGGACCTTCAGCCCTCCAGAATCATCAGCAGAAGTGGATACACTGGTGTCGCAAGGAGTCTTCCCCATCTACTTGTCTGTGGTTCCTTCGTCCACAAGCCACTCCTTGGTTTCTCTCTCCACTGGTCCCTGCATGGACTTTTTTGCCTGGGTATCTTGGCCCACCTGGCCACCCCATTATGGATTATACCTCCCCCTCCCTCAGGGGTGTGGGGGGAGGGGGTTATGTCACGTCTAAGCTCACTTAGTTTGTTCTCTTGGTTACCGAATGTGTTCAACTGTGTCTTGTTTAGTTTCTCATTATCATGTGCGTATTTTAAGTCATGTGTTTGGTTCAGTTCATTGTCCTGTGTAGTTATTGTAGTTATTGTAATAATTTGTATTATTTAGCACATTAACACTAAAATGAGTTAACTACTAATCTAATTTTCATAATAACATGCTTACTCAATTGTCCATGATTAGAAAAATTACTCCCTATAAAAAGCTGATGTTTGAGACTCAGTTCTACTGTATTCCAGTTGGAATATTGGATTCGACGTTTCCTATTGTTCTCAAGCCCTTCCTCCTCCATTAATTCCTTTGTCCTTACTTGTTCCGCCCGGCTCCCTGGTTCCTTCATTTCTGCTGGTCCTGCCTAGCTCCTTTATCTCCACCGGTACTACACGGCTCTGTGGCTCGTTCGTCTTCGTTTGTCCTACCCAGCTCTCTGGTTCCACCCCCTCTGCAGCCTTAATTCAGTTTTCTGGCTTCACCTCCTCTTCTGGCTTCATTGGCTTCTCTAGCTCAACCCCCTCCTCGAGCTTCGGCTGGGTCCGGCTGGCTCCATCCCTCCGACAACTCCTTTGTCCTCACTCTTACTGGCTCTGTCTTCTGAGCCTTCATCGCCACCTCACTCCTCTTACCGTCTTTTTCCCTTTAGACCCCTGTGCTTGGTATTGATTTGGTCTTTTATCCCTCCATCTGCACATTGGTATCAAGCCCCCTAACTCCACTTTGGTCTTCAGTTCTCATGGCTCCGCCCTGGTGTAAAATGCAGAGGGCAACACTGTGGACCTTCAGCCATACAGCATTGTCAGGAGAAGTGGATTCACTGGTCTCACAAGCCCCTTTTCCATCAAAGCATTTTAGAGCCGGTTCGGAGCCGGTGCCTGCCCGCGAACCAGTTCTTTGTGTTTCGACAGCCAAAGAACCGGTTCTCAGCCGGGAAAACTGGTTCCAAAGTGGCACCAACTCTTTGCTGGACTAGAACCGTTCTTTTACCACATCATGCTTACGTCGGGGGCTGTGGCGAGTTTAGATGCGTTCTAAACATCTTTTCTGACCATATTAAAGGATCGCAAAGCCAGGACAAAGTCCGCCTTTGTAATTGTTATGCTTGTAGTTGGTGCAAGCATTTCTAAGCGTTTTTTTTTTTTTGAAAACATTATAAGCAAAGAAGTAACAGTCACAATATAGAACGAATAAATGGAAAGAAAAAAAGACACAAGACAGGGGTACACAACTTATCAGAAAAATTACATATCAAATGAAAAGATTAAAAGACTTACATATTTCAATTGTTTTTAAAGCCTTCTTGGTACACGAGTTAGGGATAATCCCAAAGTAATGTTGTACTTGCAAGCGTTTCTAGCTAAGACGTATGGCGACGTACACAGTGACGTAACAACGTCGTTCCCTGGGCGCTTTAGTCAGTGGAAATACAAACAGGTTCTGAACGTGTTCGCAAGTTGAACCAACTCCGAACCAACTTTGAACCAGCACCAGTTCGGAACCAGTTCTTTTTTGGTGGAAAAGGGGTAACAGAGGCATCCTCCTCCTACTGTTCTGTGGTTCCTTCGTCCACCAGCCACACCTTTTTTTTCTCTTTCCATCGGTCCCTCCATGGACTCTAGGTGTCTTGAATAGGGATGCACCGAATATTCGGCCGCCGAAAATTTTCGGCCGAAAATGGCCCAAAAGTGCATTTTCGGTTTTCGGCCGAAAGACTTTTATCACCGAAACAATACGGCCGAAATGTTGTGATGACGCAAACAGAAACCGCGACCTGCACGTGCTTGTCTGAAGCAACATGTCTGCGGTGTGGACGTATTTCAGTGTATCTGAACCCGCAATGAGACGGAAATCTAATCCACCTATAAACAATGCGTGCCGCCATGACGACCACTCCGGTTGCGAGCCGGTCAAGAGCGGTGCGCGCGCTGTCTGTGGAGACACGCGCTGCGGAGGCAGGCGAAAGTATAAACAAGGCAGCGCGAGTCTCCACAGACAGCGCGCGCACCGCTCTTGACCCGCACGGAACCGGAGTCGTCGTCATGGCGGCACGCATTGTTTAGAGCAGGAAACAATTAAAAATTATAAATTAGACTCGCGCTGCGGAGGCAGGCGAAAGTAAACAAGGCAGCGCGAGTCTCCACAAACAGCGCGTGCACCGCTCCAAACGGTCGAGGCGTTTATACTTGACGCGCGCTCCGTTGTAACTGTTACTATTCCTTGAAACGACAGGGGACGACTCAAGTAACTGTCCTCTAACCATCAGGAATCGGTGAGAAGAAGACAGATAAACACATGACAATGTTTATTTTTTTTGTATTTCACCACCAATACAAAAATAATCATGTAAACCCTGAGATTATTACTTGTGACATTACAAAAAAATATGTATATGGGAACATGTAGAACTAAATTAATGCTCTCTTAAATATTTTCTACATTCACTAAAAATGTTTCATTAAGTTTCATGTACATTTGTATTAAACATGGACCATTGTTCATTTAAAAAGGCTTTTTATGCTATTGTATGCTACATTTTTTAAAATGTAACTAATTTAGACGTGCAAACTGGGTGCTGGTGTGATGAGAAGTTTGCGGTTGGCTTTGTTTTTGAGAGAACATTTCATTTTAAAATCTTTCTGCAGGCCAGTAGATTATTATTTAGTGTACACATAAGTGGGGTCAAGTTAAACATTTTAGTTTGAATTTTATTTTATACTGTGCATTGTGCTAAATATATATTTGCATAATTTGTAATTGATTTATTCTTTGAAAATGTTATATTAATTTATGCAATTGCAATGCCTTGATTTTAGTAAAGTTTGTACACAGTCATAGCCATAAATGCAATGATACTAATAATTGGCATAATTTCTTTCGGTGTTTCGGTTTTCGGCCTTGGTTTCCTCTTTTTCGGTTTTCGGTTTCGGCCAAGAATTTTCATTTCGGTGCATCCCTAGTCTTGAACCTTCTTCCCACCTGAATGGATTATACGTTCCGTTCCAACCTCCTCAGGGGTGGGCAGGATGATGTTACATCTAAGCTCAGTTAGTTTGTTTCCTTGGTTAATCATTGTGTTCACCTGTGTCTTGTTTAGATTCTGATTATCCTGTGTCATTCTGGGTGCTTTTTAAGTCTTGTGAATTGTTCACTTCCTAGTCTAGTTTTGTTATTGTTATGATTATTAACATTTACCACATTAACACTAAAATGAATGAACTACTGAAATAATTTTTCTATTAACTTGTTTACTCAACTGTCTATAAATAAAAATACTCACATGTAGGCATGTGCCGGTATCAAATTTTCATGCTGCGGTTAATTGATTGAGCTTTTATTGCGGTATACGGTATTATCACGATATTTTAATGAAATTATATTTCAAGAAAAACAGATGCATTGTGGGTCTCTAAAAAAACCTCAACTTGTATCAATGTGTAATTGTGATTTTTAAAACATATGGTAAACTAAACCAAATTGTTTAAAGTTTAGTGACAACATGTTACAATGACTGGTAGGTTACTGTTTGTATTATTCAATTAAATTCTTGGATTTGATTTCAGTCTTAATTCAATATTGACTCATTTTGATAAATATTAGGCAGGCCTCAGTCTGTTAATGTTTCTCAAGAAAAAAAAACCTCACATAATGCTGTAAACATACAGAGAGAAATTAAATATAATATTTAGCAAATTACTCCTTGCTATTTTCTAATGTGCTGGTCATTAAATGGCTTTCCTGAGGTAAATGTAACGTTTTGACACAACTGTTCTCCTGCAGTGTTACTGACCTCTTTCCGTGTTTGAAAACACTGATTGATCGTTATTATGTACAAGTAAATATACCTTTCGGTAAGTTATACTGTATCTTTAAATAAAAACGAAAGTAACATGATGATCGGTTTACTTTAACTGAGGAGCAACGATCTGTGATCAGAACCTAAGAGCTGATTTATCAACTTCAATTTATCAATAACAACTTTCATATCAAAAGTAACCTGCTCTGTCTAGTCTGTCGGTGTCAGTGTCCTCTTTGCTCTGTGATTTTTCTCTGTGGGAGAGCGTGTGAAAAGTGTCAAATGCGTTAAGGGCCTTTCAGACAGGAAGCGGAATGCGCGACGCTGGTTCAACGTTGCCCTTCAGATACAACGCGATTTGCTATTTTACTAATAAAAAGTTTAACTATTTTGAACTTTAACACCGGCGTGGTCGATGCAGGTCGACGCAGCAACAAAACATCCCTGCGCGTCGCGCGCGTATTCCGCGTCCTGTCTGAAAGTCAAGCTTGAGTCTCAAGCGGAATGTCTGAGAGTTGGCAGCCCTGCGGGGATAAATCGTCGGGAGCGTTCCGCCATGCTTCTTCATCATGTGAGGATTGTTTACATTAGACTAGTGCGCACTGTCGCAAGCACACAGTGCTTATACATGTGGGGATTGTTTACATCAGAGTGCGCGCGTGTTCTGCCCAGCACGCAGTGTTTGAGCGGTTGAAGGAAAATAAGCAGCTAATGCGCGCTCTAAAAGTCTAAATTTGAATCTATTATTTTCCACGGTATTTTGAAGAGCCCGCGATAACAATATCGTGCATATTCATTACCGCGATTTATCGCATTACCGAATACCGGCACATGTCTACTCACATGATATAGTTGGTGGTGTTGAGTCAGTTGAAGTACTTCTTGTAGTGGCAGGGGGTGCTAAAATATTTAGATGTATGAATAGAAACATTATGCAAGTAATATTCGTTGACATACTTAAAATGACATCACTGCATAAAATTAAATTCTGTTTTGCAAAAACTTTTAATAAAAGATAATATGACAGCATCTGTAAACTGTGTTAACACAGTTTTTTCAACTGAAATGTCATAATTGTCTGTCTATATGAATTACATCTTGTAGGAGAAACTGTTAGACACAATTATCATAATATAACTTCATTGGTAATAAAAAATTATAAAATACAGCTAATAGTTTACACATTTGTCCATGAAAAGTACTCACTTGTAGAAGGAGTAGGTGTAGGTGTCTCACTTGTAGAAGCAGTTGATGAAATGGTTGTAGTGACAGTGGATGCTGTGATATATGGACATATAGAAAAAAAAATCACGAAATATTACTTAGAAGCTAAAAATAACATATGTGCATACAATTCATTTTATGTATTACAATCAAAATATCATTGTTAGAAGACTAACTTGTATTCAATTATAAACATTTTAACTGGTAGTGGATCCACACCCTTCACTGGCTCTGCTCATTTGCCTGGTTGCCTCATCTTTCCTGAGACACAAGCTCTGCCTCTGGCAATGCCTCATCCCTCCAGCCATTTGGCTCTACTTGCTACTCCACCCCTTTGGCTTCTCCTTTGTCCTCACTCCAACTGCCTCCAGCTCTGTCTTGCGAGCCCTCATCTCCACCTCAGTCCTCTGACTCTTCGGTTCCGCCTTGGACCCCAGTGCCTGTGGTGCCAATTTGGTTCTTCATCCCTCCATTTAACCCTTGGTATCCAGCACACCTTACTCCACTTTGGTCTTCAGTTCCCACGGCTCCGCCCAGGTCAAAACTGGGGAGGGAACCTGCCGTGGACCTTCAGCCCTCCAGAATCATCAGCAGAAGTGGATTCACTGGTGTCGCAAGGAGTCTTCCCCATCTACTTGTCTGTGGTTCCTTCGTCCACAAGCCACTCCTTGGTTTCTCTCTCCACTGGTCCCTGCATGGACTTTTTTGCCTGGGTATCTTGGCCCACCTGGCCACCCCATACCTCCCCTCCCTCAGGGGTGTGGGGGGAGGGGGTTATGTCACGTCTAAGCTCACTTAGTTTGTTCTCTTGGTTACCGAATGTGTTCAACTGTGTCTTGTTTAGTTTCTCATTATCATGTGCGTATTTTAAGTCATGTGTTTGGTTCAGTTCATTGTCCTGTGTAGTTATTGTAGTTATTGTAATAATTTG